GGGGTTTGCCAAGGCAATTGGAGGGATTCGGTGCATCGCTTTCGGTAGACGCCTCCTTGGAGGGGGCGGGTGGCTTTGCTTAGGTCTGGCTTCGCTGTGTCTTATTTTTCCGTCGCTGCTATATTCTGGTAGCTTTGCTCTTGAGCAGTAGGCCCGGTCATGCAAAGCCCCAAATACGCGAGTAGGGAGGCAGGTGCGTCGCTTTATTCCTCTGGAGCAGCTCCTCCTGCCTGGCACACTTCCACTCCGTAGCCAAGCGCTGCCTGCGCTGGGCTTTCCGCTTCAGTCCTGTCTCCGAGGAGGAGTTGTTATTTGGATGTTATTTCTTGCTGTTTGTAGGTGAACTGCCTAAACTGCGGTGCTTTGGGGTTTCTTTTTTCTTTTTTTTTTTTTGGTCATTGTTGTACTCTTGTTTAAAATCTCATCAGCAGAATTAAAAGCAATTTTTATTATCACAATTGTCCACAACCTCCAGACTTACTGGTGAAGACTTGCATTTTAAATGACTGTTTTAAAAGTCTGGTTTGTGCACTACCTACCCACAGACTAGAAGAAACTATCAAGCTACACAAAGTTATGTTAGAAGCAAAGTCTGATTTTTATGGGTATTCTTTATACCATACCAGTGGGTCAAACGCTCTGACAGAACGCTTCTCTGTAGGACTTGGCATTGTGCTTCTAACTCAGTTCTTAATACTTGGCAGTATTCTGAGAACCGGAAAGGGAAGTGATCAAACAAGGAGAATTTTACTGATGTCACGGAATCTCTGATTAAATACTTCCTTCATATGAGCAACATGGTACACAGTTATCACAGCTACACTGTAGCTCAGCTTGGGTTTTGTACCAGGAGAATGAGTAGGGGCTACCAGGCACGTTCTGCAAGAGTCTTGTCATTCTCCCCAAACTGATCAATTTTATGTGTTTAGGTGTAAAAATCATAAAAATGGTTTGTTCAGAATATACCAATCTGTGCTAGATAACACAGGCTATGAAAAGCTTAACGTTCTGTTTCTTACCTGGCTTTCAGCTTAATAATGAGTTAGATTCAGGGTCGCAGTCCTCATCCAGAAAGTTTGGATGGGCTCAGCGGCGCTCACTCTCACCTTCGCCAGAGAGTTTAAACGGCCGGGGGCACTGAACGGTGTCGCCCCCGTGCACCCGCACAGGGTTTGAACCTTTGCATATTTGAACCTGCAAATGACAACTTTCAAAGCTGGCTTAATTTCACTAGCGGCCAACAAGAATAAGAAGCATAAAGGAAGAAATACCCTTTGTTGGAGAAAATCCTCATTTCCTAGTAGAAAGGAGAGCGGTCGGTTTCTTGGTGAAGTAAAGCTTTGTCAGATCTCCATGGAACTGGGGTAGTCTTGAGCAATGAATTCTGAGCAATAGGCTTAAATGGAGTATTTACAGGCAGCAATTTTTGCCATGCTTGTAGATTATTTTTTTTTCAACAGATTACAAATAATTACAAACTGGTTTTTCAGACATGCTATGAAATTTTAATATGACTGCTCTATTCTTTAAATTTGTTGCTGCAAAAATCCTGGTAATATTTTTGGAAAGTAGTTCTAAGAGAGTTTAAGGTAAGTCAGGAGTTTCTCTATCTGGTGGAGGCATTCGACTCTCCTAATGTGCTTTGTTTGCTTCTTGTACATAGGGGGGTGGGGGTGTATCTTTATTTTCCGAGTTACCTGATCCTGAAAACTTCAGGAGGCAATAAAAGATACCTTGCATGCTCTTTCAAGACGATTGGCACACTGCCAAACTCAAGGGAAGACAGAATCTATAGTCCTTGGGACATCTTTGAAGGGCAGAGGTTTGGAAATGCTGTTTCACTTTATACAAACGAATTCCTACCTCTAGAAACAATTTTTTTCCTTCCAAATTTGTTAAGAAGGCATTTTAAACAGCCTGGATCAGTTTCAAATATAGACACTTTCCTCTAAATTAATTTGGTTAGCTGTACTTTTCAACTGAATCTACTTCTAACTGATTGATTGGAAATAAGTCGGTTAAATGTTGATGAGCATGTGGATAATGTTACTGTGGCTTAGGTACTTTTTACTTTTACTGCATTAAAAAAGTTCTCTCAATGTGCTTTAAGTCGCAGTTTAATTCGGAGTGATACGAATTAAACTGCTCAACGTATTCTGGCGTTTCTTTTAGGCCAGATCCAGTATAATGCTTTCAAGCCACACTGCCTGTTTTCTTGTTGGCATAAGACAAAAAAGTCTCAAGCCATTGCTACTTGACTTTTGGAAACTAGCATTTCTTTGGCGGCTCATTTGTAAGTGCAGTGTCGTCTTAATCCGCGTGGGGGACACAGAGAAGGTAAAATGCTGCTTTTTTCAGTGCTGCACCAGGTTTCAATTAGTTTGAGACGGCAGTTGTTTTAAGAGGGCGCTACTTAAATTGGATTAGCGAAATGGCCCGTATGAAACAAAATACTGACTTCTGAAGGCTGTTTTCTAGCAGTTCGTGTCCATGATTTCACTTGCAAGCCAGCTACACAAATAATTGCATCAGCACAAATGTACGTGGTGCAAATCATGGAGGAAGTTGAGGAGAGTGTATTGAGGAACCTCATAAGTCAGCATTCCCTCCTGAATTAACTGGAATGTGAAACTGCATTTCCTGATACCAGCTCGCGTGTAATATGTTAACAGACATAATGTAGCTTAGTCTGTAATAATTCTGTGTGCTACTTGAGAGGACAGCTTCTTGTTAGACGATGGTTTTTAATTCTGTCTTAAGTTCTCTGCAGTTCAAATGCTGGGGCTTAATATGAACTTGAACTGAAAGGGAAAGGCTACAGCTTAGGCATGTCGTGTATATGAGAGGAGCTATATAAAAATGTTTTGATCGCTTCAAATTTTTTTCCTATTCTCTGTTGAGAGCCCGGTCGTTTAAAAACTGCTTCTTTCGCAGAGGATCATATTTACAAAAAGGTATTATCAAGTCAGTTTTTTACTGCAGCGATGTTTTCATAATGTTATCTTTAGTTTTGTCTTTAAGTTAAATCAAATTAGAGACGTTTTACCAAGGTGACTGCATTTTTTGCTGCGCAAAATTTTATTTAAGACTGAATTATCCTCTCCTGAGAGATGAATTAGGCTAGTGCCTATTTATCAGACTTCTCATAGAATTTGGTTTCATTCAGCGGTGCTCTACAAGAGTCCTCTGGTGGTCGTCTTCAGTGCTTACAAAACACACATTTTTGCTCCATTCAGATAACGGGAGTTTCAGAATTCTGCTTTCGTTGATAGTGGATATTAGAGAGGTATGATAGTTTTTTAACACATGCAAAATACGTGTCTGAAGGTTTTGTTTAAAAATAGAATAACAGCGGTAAAACCCATCCTTTGGCCTCCAAAGCCCTAGACACAAGGACCTTAGCAAATGACTGTCTCAAACAGGTAAAATGTCGAGTTCTGTTGGCTGATTCAAACAAGTGATACCGTCCCAGTAGAGGGAAGTATTTGGGCATTAATCTGTGAACCTGAAGTGATATCTCGATGGCATCTTTAATCTCCGAGTACTCCAGAATGCTTATCCCATATACCTAATTACTTTATGACCACAAGAATGCAGAGTGCCCCGTCTGCCAGGAATTTCAGGGCTCACTTGGAAATGTAGATTGACTTGATGGTTCTGTTCAAATCCAAGTTACAGTTTCAGCCTTCAGTAATCTTGCCAAATGTGTGCAAAAAATAAGAAATACTTATGAGCTGTTTACCAGCCTGTCCTGTTTGTTATCCTTTCATGTTAAATGTTTTTCAACATGCAATTCTGTCAGCGGAGATTGGAGGCTAATAGGTCAGAAAAATATTGCAGGTTTGAAAAATGACTTCTTTTGTCTACCGGAGGTAGTGGCCAGCATTTGGAAGGGTGGTTTCTGCTCTCTCCCCCCACCCTCTTCTGATATGTTGCCGTAAGAACAGGCCGTTCCTGTTTGAGGGAAATTTTGACCTGGTGTCTCTGTAATCAGCCATCTGTGGCAGCTTCCTTGTCTATAATGGACTGAGTTCTGTTGTCATTTCTCTATGGTTTATCTGACATACTACTTTTTCTTCCACAGAGGAGAAGAAAAAGCTAGTTCGAGAATTTGATGAGAAACAGCGTGAAGCAAATGAAACGGTAAACCAAAGTCTAGACTTTTGTCCTTTCTGACCAGGTGAAACACTGATGCCTTAAAAAGGACAGTACTTCCACACTTTACTCTCTTTATGGTTCTATGCTGGCAGGCAAATGTATTCTTTTTTAATGTTTGATTTGTTAATCTGATAGATGTGTCTGTGTTTGCAAGACTGTTGTGTATATATACATATATAGATACAGACAAATATTCTTACATGGGTATTTTTTCTTTGAGTGCTCGGTTTGGATATCGCCTTACCTTTGTTGAACAAAGGAGAGTGACGGAGGTGCAATTACAATTGCTAGAGATTGTAGGGAGGGCATGTAGAGAATCTTTTTTTGATTTTCTCCCCGCCTTCCCCCCCCCCCTTTTTTTCATGTTGGTCTTAACCCATCTGATCTTTCTATAATAGTCTGATAGTTAAATATCAGGGGTCTTGAATAGTTGAAACCTCTGTTGTATAGGCTTCCTGGACAGCAGGTGACGTGGAACTGCACAAAAAACCCATGTGACTTGTCTTTTCAAGAAAGACATTATGGATTAAGCTTTCTTCTCTTCTTAATGTGCTATTGCCTAGGATGCTTTTGCGTCACGGCTGAACGTTCTTTTGAGAGAGATGCTTTATTCCTCTAACTTACTGGGTTTTATTGACCCGTATCTGTGTAGGTGATGTATGAGAAGCAGAGTTCATATTGTGAGAGAGCTCATATTGGTGGGCAGCTTTAAGCACTGTGAATTTGTAACAACTGTCACCAAAAGTTGATGTGAAAATTCACGCATCCACAATCCCAGGGTTTACAAATCCTAACTCTAGTTGCCAGGCCCGGGTGCTCAGAGTATGAATTTAGTGGCATGCCTACCTATGCAGTAGATTTCTGTTGCATAGATACGCTGAGAAGCTGATACCCATCCTATAAATGCTTAAATAATATGAAAGTGAGAACTGCACATTTTGAAGTTATGGAGCGACGTTTCAGAAAACAGCAAGCATTTAAGCTTGGCGATTAATTTTTTTTTTCTTTTCTTTTTTTTCCTTGAGGCATTGTGTATTTGAATATCTGTGTGGGCTGAACAGCATTAGGCAGAACGGTGTATTCAATACCAGATGAGGGGTATAGGGTTTGGGGTTAATCCCCCCCTCATCCACATAAAAACATGTGAATCCCTTCATCTGGTGGTGAGTTTCGAGTATAGCTGCTGATAAGAATAGATTTGGTGCTTTAAAAAATAAACACATTTTCTTCCATTAAAGCTACGGGAAATGGAGGAAGAACTGAAGTATGCTCCCCTGCCTTTCCGCAACCAAATGATGAGCAAAATCCGGGCGTACAGAAGAGACCTCTCCATGTTCCAGAGAGAGATGAGAAGCACAGATTTGGGATTGGGCCCTGGAAGTCAAGGCGATATAAAATACGGAATCTTCTCCACAGAAAATGAACAGAGTGTGAGAATTAGATATAAGTTTTATTTAACATTGCTGTGATCGTTTAAAAAAGAATTCCAGATGTATTGTTTACAGTGTTTCTACTTTAATCCGCTTAGCTTCTGTGCTTGTATAGCTCCCTGTATATCTCTCTTGCACGTAACATGAATATCTCAGGGAGGAGAAAGAACACCTGGAACTCAGAGGAGAGCTTTTCTGTTCTAAAACAAAGATATGCGCATAATCAAAAGGGAAATCCTTGAATACCATGCAGTTAGTAACTTACACGACATTCTGTACTGAAATGCTGTATTTCAGTACAGCAGTGAGAACACAAAAGTGATGCTACTGACTGAGAAGAAAGGTTACCTGATCTAGTTTTAGTCTCCAAAACTAGCAAAGTGAGTGAATCATGCACTGCATAGGTTCTTTGGTAGAACTCTCTTTTAAGCAATCTCAGTGTAAACAATTTCACGAAAATATGAGAAGTCGTCCTCTAGCACTTTGTTCACTGTGGATGTGCTGCTACAGTGCAAGGAATACACCAATTTCTTTGTTTACCAGATATGCTTAGATATATTTTTGAGCTAGGGAGACTGAATCTGCTTATTATCTTCGAAGTGCTGTCATCTGTATAGAAAGTTCATGGAGGTGGGCTTTTTGGTTGCCTGCCTTAGAAAAGGAAGGTTTGAGGGAGGCTCTTTCCTTAATATCTCGTTCTGCAGTAGCTTGGTAAATTTTTGCATTTGATTCCTTTTGATCGGTTCCTCTAAAACCTGAGAGCAGGGTGGTAGATTAGACTTTCTGAAGCTTCAGGAAAATACTTTATTTTGAGCTACCTCTTGACCCCAAGGTGAGCAAACATTTCTTATCCTCTAGCCGAGGCTACTGGCATAAAAAGAGGATCTTTGTTACTTAGCAGTCCATCTGTTAGTGCTGTTTGTTCCTAATCCTTTGGCTGGGTAAACTCTTAATGATCTCCCTGGCAACCAACTGTCAAGTCACAAATAGGACTGAGTTTAGAATGGAAGGAAAAGTTAGCATCTGGAAAGCAAAGACACTATTTTCACGTAAACGTTCTTTGATGGAACAGTAAATTGTTGTAAAGACAGGGGTTTTTGTAACTGTTTTAACCCTTCAGTTGTGCGTCCTTCTTTTTCAAGGTTTAGCCAGATCTGGCCATAATCTTACAATGTGAACAAGAACTCTTTCAAAATTAACTGGGCTACATCAGTTAACGTAAGAAGCATGTACAGCTAATGCAAATGGATGGCCTATGGAGTCACATCCTAACTTTTTAGTAGGTCAGAAGCCTAATACCTCTCTCTTTGTGCTTAATAGTTAAGCATACGTTATTTTTCAGACTAACCTGCAGTCACAGAGGGTGCTGCTTCTCCAGGGAACGGACAGCCTGAACCGAGCCAGTCAGAGCATTGAGCGCTCGCATCGAATTGCCGCTGAAACAGATCAGATTGGCACCGATATAATTGAAGAACTCGGGGAGCAGCGGGAGCAACTGGAACGCACCAAGAGCAGAGTAAGCAGGGAAACTGGGGGCATTGTATTGAAACAACCTGATGTCAGCTTAGCGGGAACTGTATGCCAGTAATTACTCTCGGAGACCTCCCTAGACGTGGTAATCCAACTGATGTTTCTACAGACCAAATCCAGGCTGCTACATTTCTATGCTGTGCACGTAAAAGGAAAAAAACTACTGTAGAAGGGCCCAAAGCACGATGGCCAAATGTCTGCTGCTATGTCTGTGCAAGATTGGATATTAGACCTGTAGACCACTGCTAAAAAAAAACAGCATTACTGAAAAAATTACAGATGTAAAAAAATGCCGAGGAGTTGCCCAGCACTAGATTACTAGTAAAGGTTTAGATTTGGGAGGCATTAGCAAGTTCTTCTAATGAAATGAAATTCAATAGAAGCTTAATTACTAACCATACAGTATTTGTAGGTTAGCTAAGGAGGGAGAAAGCGGTGTCAGACAAGATGCCTGTTTCTCATCCTTGGCTCAAGAAGCTCTGCTTCTACTGTGGCAGCTTTAGGAAGTAGTTCATTTCCTTTGTGTGCACACATATGCAAAACTGGGAATTTGACTTCTGAAGTAACAAACTGATGGGATTGTCTGTGTGTACAAGGGATCCCTAGCGTAAAACTTTTAGGCGAGTGACTTGCAGGGGGACCCCAAGTTTGGCAAGTAAGCACGCTCAGCCAAAACAAAAAGCATACCCCTTTTCTTGGGAGTCATCTCTACTCATTGCAACAAAGCCTGTAGCTTTTTCATTTAAGCAGTTTTGCAATTTCAGTCAGAATTCCATTCGTCCTGCTCCCAAATTTGGGTTGGAGAGCAGGAAAGGAAATGTGATCTTAAAATTTGTAGGTATAGTTTTTGTCTGTTCTTTTTCTAATTAAAAATATTATAGTCCTTCAAGCATGTCAGTCTGCCCACAGTTGTTCATGAAGCTGTGACTTTTAGTGTGAGCCTTTCAGGCATTGTATTGCTGAATTGTATTAAACATACATTCCAACTAGAAGCAGACTTTCTTCTTGCTTGGTCTTTCATAGCAAAGATTGGAAATCTAGTATGCTTTGAATGGACTTGGTAGTTTTCTTCCCAACTTGGTCCAGTCCATCTCAGTGCAAGGTAACGTACCTACAGGGCCAGTTGTGCAGCTGAGGGCAATAGCTTAAACTACAGAGGAATTGTGCAGGCAGGTGTCTGTGACGGTAAGTGACCTGGCTTACCTTTTACTTCCCCTGAAGCTTTGGAAGTGGAATAGCGAGATCTTACCTGGAGACCTCCAGTGGCCGCACGTCATGAATCCTGACTCTGTGAGACAACAGCTTTTTTAGTTGTCTGTAACCTCACGTAATTACGTGCTTCTTAATAGCTGACTGAGAAATACTTGACAGTTCATTTCTGAGCATTGCAAAGCTGACGCGGATTATCTATTAACAGTTCAGAGCTCATATCCACTGGGTCACTTAGACCTGTCAGCACAACATGGTTCTTTCTTGGCTAGAAATTGAACAGCATTTCAAACAGTTCCAGAAACGCCCTGGGGAGAACATGTCAGTATTGTTTTCTTCTGGTGTCAACAACTAGAATAATGAAATAAAATTTAATGAAAGGAGCTAATAACAACTTTCTGATATTTGTAGATTAGCTAAAGGGGCAGAAAGTGATCCTAAATTGCTTATCTTTGCATGTATCTAAGGGAAAGTATACACGAAAGTCTTACTTCCTCCTTAGAAAGGAAGGAGACAACACTTCCAGCTTGTATTGTGCATAGAGAACAATGTTGGCTCTGAATTTTGAGAATACGTGGTTAGCCTTGGTCCCGTTATTAACTGCAACATTTCAACACCCGCTACTTACAGGTGCATCTTTACAGAGTTGCTGTATACTTGTTCAACTGGCAAATAACTTCTGTTTCTTCTTAGTTGGTGAATACAAGTGAAAACTTGAGCAAGAGTCGCAAGATTCTACGTTCCATGTCCAGGAGGTGAGTAGCGTGACTGACTTACAGCAGCGCTCGGCAGGTGGCATTGTTGCCTGCCGGTTTCGGGCAAAAAATAGGGAACAGAGCATCAGCTGGAACTGCAGGAAGGTTTTAGGGAATGTGTGAACAGAATGTGTGCCTGTGTGCAGATGCCAATTTGTGTTTTCTCCTCTCTGGTAATTACCATTAGGTAATTGTGCCGCTCATTTAGGATAATACGTGGTCTTTAACCATCCCGTATGATAAATGGTGGTGAGGGGAGGGATTTGGACATAAGCAAGTTACAGTGAATTGCTAATGGTAACTTTAGATGCAACTCTTCGTTATTCAGGTTGGAAAAAGCTGTGCCATAAATCACTGCAGCATTAAGTGGTTTAGATGTCTGATGACAGAGACAAATCTGTTTAGCCACAGTAATGCCCTAGGGTAGCTAGACTGTCACAGGAGAAGCTCCGCGCCTGACCATACGCTATTTCGATGACTAGAGCCTTGTATGCTTAAGGGTATTTATAGTTTCTTAGCTATATGGTTTAATTGTCCTTATAAACTAGTTCATGGAGTGTATTTCCAGTAGGTACTTCTGCCCTTACAATCTTTCCTTTATACCCGTCGCTAAAGGAAGTTTATGATAACTGTATAATTTTCAATAGTAGAAGTACATTATTATTTTGAGATGTTATAGTTTTACTTCAACTCCGTAGTTCTAAGTAAAAGCACCACAAGGTGGGTTTTAGCACAGGAGTTCAACTGACGTTTTCCTCTTTGCTTAATGGAATGAGTAGGCACATACAGAGCAGAACGGTCTGCCTTCTGCGGGGCAGGGGAAGAGGAACAGAACTGCTGCTGTTGAAGTACAAGATTTAAGCAGAATTTCCAGGAAAACATGAGTAGGAAACTACAGAGTTTGTCCCTTCCTGCTTGTTAAGAGCTATTTGAATAGCACCTTGTGGTCCAGCTGAAACAGGGAGTATACTTATTGACGGTATGATGGTGACCAAATTATCTAGAATCTGCTTTCATAATCAAGGGGGGAAAAAGCTAACTTGGATTTTTTTTTATTTTTTAACTCTAGAGTAACCACTAATAAGTTGTTGCTGTCAATTATCATCATCCTGGAACTAGCTATCCTAGGAGGTGTGGTCTACTACAAGTTCTTTCGCAGCAGATGAATCTTCATGAGTGAGATGAGCTTTTTCCGTGGTTGAGGAACCGGATGGGATGTCTGTTCCCTTTGAATGTCTGAGGATTGAACTGTCTCATGAGACAGCGGGTTCCGCTGAAACTGTACTGAACTAGAAAGACAGAGAATGGGAGTAAAAGGCAAATGCAGAGACAGACTTGAACTACTGGTAAGATTAATAAGAAGGTAATAAATATTTTATTGTCTCAATTTGTATATACGTAACTAAATGAATAAATCTTGGTATGTAATAAAGTAACCACTGATCAGTGGAAAAGCTAGTTTATTTAAAAACTGAGAAGTTAACAGTATTTGCCAAGTGTTGACAATCTATCCACTCAAGTGCCTCAGCAGAGCTCTATAATGTCCAATGTACCCAACACTTCGGGTTCTTAAATCCTCACTTGCTCTTCACTGTCAGATTCATCTGGAGAACTGGGTGTTGGGAGTTCATCAAAAGCGGTGTGTGCTCCTTCCCTTGTCTGCCCAAAGCACGTTGCTATCACGTCGACTGCAAGACTAGCAGTTGCATTCACTTCCTCTTGAGAAGCTCCAAGCAGTGGATTGACTTCAACCATGTCTACAGCTGAAAGCATTCCTGTGAAAATGATTTACAGCTTTGCTACTATGAAAAAGGGTAGCATCTCTAATAGGGTTTCTTCTGCAGCCTTTCATTCATTGCGGCAAGTCTGATACTTGAGCTTGTGACCTGCTCTACCCCTTAGACAAGTAAAATTGGCTCTCAAGTGAGGGATGAGGTTATCATTCTTAGACGCAAGTTTGTGGTTTTAATTTGGTTCTTTCTTACATTGTCACTACCTCACTCATCCACGCTTTTAGCATTCAGGAAAAACAAGTTTGATGTTCTATATACACTTACGAGGGGAATGTTTTTTAATCTTGTTTCCTCCCAGTCCAAAAATTAGGGGATCTAAATAGTCTCACCTAGTATTTTTTGCCATCCTATTTATGATTCTATTGAATCTGTTGTCTGGTGGTTTTTTGGGTTTGTTCTTTTTTTTCCTTCTTCCCATACCAACTTTTACTGCAAATAACTCATTGTTTACACAAATTAAATAATAACTTCACAGCATAAGGAGGAAATTCCTCATCTATTGAGTCAACTGCAGTATACTTAGTGAAAGCTTGACTTGCTAGCCTTGAATCCTAGAACGAAACTTCAAACTGTTTAGAACTGTTTGCATCCATTTTTTCATTCCAGATGCCCACTTTTACATCTGACCTCACGCGCTTAGGAGTAGGGGACAGTATTATACAAGATGACCAAGTAATTTTTGGCATTAGTTGTTACTATAGTATGTATTTTATTTACTTTTGGTAAGTTGAAGTTGTTGATGGTTAAGCTGCTTCCAACCCCTGGGGAATTGCCCAACCATAGGACTTTTTTCCCTTACTGGAGGCTGAATTGACTTTATAGGCACCTTAGGTTTGACTACATTTATCTTATTATCTAGTTACACGGGAAAAACATAACCACTAGGAGCTCTATGTAGTTCGTCCTGTCCTGGCCTAAGTCCAGTACTGCTGGTCAACTCCTACCTGTGTTGTGTATCTCTTCTGTGATGTACATGCCTTCTCTGTAAGTTAATCCACCCAGAACAGGAGTCCCAGTTGCTGGAGCCAGCGAGGGATCAAAAGCATCAATGTCAAAACTCAGGTGAATTGGTCTCTGTCTCCTGAGACAGAATAAAACAAGAAAAGCAATCTCAGAACCTTGAACTTTTACTACATGTATTTCTTACTGTCCAGGCTGATCAGCAAAGTAGCGTCATGCTCCATGATGCTAAAGGTCCTAAGTCCTACACCATGGCTTACATACATTTGGAAAGGATTTTTTATTTCTTTTAGTATCTTTGGACTCTGAAACATCTCTTAGCTCAGAACTTTCCGCAGTACACATTGGGAAAACAGACGTTTCTCTTTCTAGGTTCACTGAGCATCTGCTCAGGTGTGATTTGGCTGAAGATAAGTACTGTAGTTCTAACCATCTTATCTGGTATTTGTCTCTTTAGTTGGAAGAACGTAGAGAAATGTATGATATAATCCAGCCTTTTCTCCTTTTGTACAGAAAGCCAGGGTGAAAGGCTGAAACATTGATTTGCATGGCATCTAGGATGGAGGAAGCACCAAGCTTGAGGATTTCATAGACAGCTCATCGAGATGAATGGGGCATTCTGCATTTTTCAGGTCAATAGTTGAAGGCTGCCTCCAAACTCTGCCATGTAAGCCTAGCTGATGAAAAAGTGAAGGATAATCTCAAACCTAAAATGTTAGTTACTTACTACATGAAGTCTGGCAACCAATGACAGCTTAATAAATTGGACACTGCTTGTCACTCAGATGACCTATGAGGTGGTAGACCGTGTAATTCCAACTTACTGCAGATGCTCAGTAGGGAGAAGCATCTGGACTAGCAACTTTGTTACTTGGCGCAGCTGCAGCTAGGAAGGGTGAGCACACCTTTAGATACAACAGTATGCAGCACAGGTACGTGGACCTTGTTCTGCCTACAGGACTTTGTTCTACCCTGTGGTGAGAGGTTACCCTTTCTAACTCTGATCCTCTCCCTGTGTCCCTAGACTAGCATGATTTGCTCCCTGATCTGGTTCCCCAGACTTGAACAAGGTTAGCAAAGACTTCAGCATTGAACTTAAGTAAGGGAGTGAACTTCACTAGCTGAACTGAAAGTGGCAGCTGTCATCAGGACAGCATCTGTGACCATAGTCTAAGGAGGAAGCCATCAAATGCTTCTACCTCATGTACTAACAGCTGAATTCAAGTTACTGTAAAGTTGCTATATGTATTTTTAAAAGTATAATGTATATCCTAGACTCTTGAGTTGATTCAAACATCTTGTCAAACTGCAGCAAAATACAGAATTCCTCAAGAAACAGAACAAATCGTATAAAACAGTGCCGCAACTGTAGTGACTAATGTAACCTATCTCGTAGCTTTCTGCCAAACACTGTGAAATGGTTCCAGTTCAAGATGTGGAAGTTGAGGACTAAAGCCAGTGCTAAGGCTTTACTATTTACTGGACGCTGTCACAGTTCTGTTAGGCCGCCTTACATCAAGAGTGACCTTCATTTAAATAACTTTCAGGAAAGTAGATATTCAACAAGTGGATGATAAGAGTATTTTAAATCAGATAATAGTTTGTTACCTGCCCATCAGTTGTTCAAATGTTCTTTCCATAACCTTCTGAATTCCAAGGCGATCAATATCCCTCATGGAAAAATACTGGATGTCATAGTTCTTCAAAATATAGCTGTTAAAATAATAAAAAAAAATAAATCATTACTGGCCTAAGCGTAAATCTAGCAACCCTTGTGAACAGCCAGATGTGGAAAGAATGCCTGATTTCAGCCTTTACAAAAATCCTTTAATCTAAATCAACCCGCTATTCAGGAGGATCCACATCCCTCAAACCAATGTACACAATGTCAGATGCTGAAAGGCAGGGCTTTAGCCAGGAGAAGCCAGGAAGTTGTGGTACCTGTAAGCAAAGGTTTGGTATTAGGTTAGTTTAATGACATATATAACAAAACTGTATTTAATGCTTCCCTCAAAACTTTATTTATAGCATCCTTTCTCTGTCTAAACAGAGAAACTTCATCACTTGAGAGTTTGGCTTCCTGATTTAATAAGTCCTTCCTTACCTTTGTTGTACCATTTTACCCGAGTTGAATGGTAATGGATGAAGTTTTTAACTCTTCTACGTTTTCCAGTTTGAAGAGGAGGAATAAAAAGCCCAAATCCACAAGCAATAGGTAATTATAATCAGTAAATGTAAGGGGGAATGATAAGAAACTAGATACCCAGATGTAGATCACTTATACGGTACATTTAGTAGCAATGCTATACCCAGTACATCATACTTAAGTGGAAGAATAAAAACCAAGGCACCTGTATCTTTAGGAGAATCACCAAAACGTCGTGCAAACTTTGTTGCAAAAACAATGTTAAAGATGGGACAAATTCAAAGTGGGAAGTTAAAAGGAAAAAAAAAAGAGCATGACAAGAAGTTGGGCTTCCACATTGGGCTACATCATACTGTTTTTTAATGTAGAACTGAACAGAGCAGGTCTAGGACAGCAAATGAAAGACGATGATGTCATCATTTTCCAGCTTTGGTAATTAAGTAGTCATGGTATGCAATTATAAAAATCCTTCCGTTAGTAATAGCTACTAATTTGAGGAGTGCTTTAAATTAACTCAAATTTCTCTTCTTCCTCTCCCAGCTCTGAAAATGGCTACAGCCAACACAGCTGCCAAGCAGCAAGAAGGCTTTGTTTCCCTCTTATACTTCTCAATTACTAATTATATCCTAGTTACACCATTTGGATTTGTTTTTAAAGGCTAATGCACCCATAGCTATATTTAATTACATTGGGATTAAATAAGCACATATAATAAAAGTATTTGTTACTCTGGGGCAGTGACCTCAAACTTTTCTGCAGTCATGAATTCAGAAGAGGGATAAATGAATTGGAGACCACTAGGAAAAATAATTCAGGTCCCAGCAATGAAGCTGTATCTGCAAAACACATCACCATAGCATAAGCTGAGCATAGTATTGACAGTATTGTCAGATACTCTCTAGTATTAATGATTTAGTAGATTTAATACTGCCATTTTTAATTATACCTCTTCCTCTTTAAATAAAGAAAATGGAATGCCTTAACTTCCTTGAGTAGGCTCTGTTTTTACTGTTGTGATAGAAAAGGAGTTGCTGCTAGTAAAGCCAAACAGGCATCGGAAAAAGGTGCAGGCATTTTAAGTTATTAATAGCAGTTTAGTTTTGAATGGTTCCAGGAGCCCTGACACTAATGCTTGGTTTGAGGAATGCCCATCATAAATACTTTCCTTAAAACGACAAAATTAATTTAAAAAGTTTTTTAAAGACCCTAAAGTGCCACCTTGCCTTGAGGAGTACCAAGCAGTGCTCCTGTGAAGCTAACTGGACAAACAAGTAGCAGCTGACAGCCTATGAATGGACTGTGCAAGCAACACCAGGGTTTGTTCTACAGCGACCTGGCCAAATGCTTTATTTTATTTCATAGCCAGATGTATCGCTTTTATACTTCATGTTGTCTGCTACATGGGGGCATTTAATTCAGTAGAGCATTGACTAAGGTCATCAGCCCTGGATACATGAAGGATTCTGAAAACAGGTGAGAAAACACCTAAACTGAGGGACTTGAAACAGCCTGGGGGATTTCTTGGCAGGTGTGCCAATTTAATCAGTTGCTGCCCCATCAGTTCCCCTCGTTGTGTTTTGCCAGGACAGCTGTTTGTAGGGTCATACAGTGAACGAGGGCTAGGACTTGATGTGTCTCAAAAACTAACCAAGCAAAGAGACAGTGCTCCTGACTTGGGTCTCCGGCAATCCCACAGAAGATTACAGCAGCTAAACTGAGTTGCTGGCATGGGGTCAAGAACAGTCTAAACAGATTGTGCCACCAAGAGAGACGCATGTTAGACTACTACCTTTGTCTCCTGTCATCTTGATAGTGAATGAAGAACAAGGAGCCTGGAGATGCTGGAAGAGCAGTACCAGTTAGTAGACATAGGCAATGAATCAGGAAGATAAAATGTAATCATGCAGGCTGTTTTGCTCTTTTTATATCCTCAAAGGAGCTGTTGTTTCCCTGTGGTTCTACAAAACAATCTAGACAGGGAACCAAGTGCTAACTAGCCCTTCCTGAAACTATTAGGTTGGTGACCAAATCTTGTGACCCAGAGAGACAGTTTGGTGGAATTATGGGAGTCCACCAAGAGAAGCATACACACAGATGTGTCATGGTGGGGAGGGGTTACTCAAAACTCCCTTCACAGCATGAGTGAAAGCAAGGAAGGAGATACAGGGCTCACTGCAAGATCTCTTTTGTCCTCTCGCACTGCTATGCAATGTACCCTTTGACAGGATAGAAACCTCCTTGAGAAGCAAAGTGCAACTGGTTAGTTTGTCTGTCGCTTTGAGAAAGCAGTTATGCTTAGCAGAGTGTAGGACTAGAGTAGCCTTCTTGCCGGTGGCAGACAGTTTTAGGATTCAGAAAGAATCCTTCCAAAGCAGTCAGGAAAGGACACTATATTTTTTTTTGTCCTGTTAATCAATGCAGCTGCTCTACTGGATGAGAGTGAGCCACATGCACCTGTTCACGCATAAAGGTTCCCTCCAGTGAGTCAGATATGTAGCCAGACAAGCTATTGTTGAAGGCACATTCTACTGCTGCTAAACAGCTGTTTAAAAATTTATGCTGTTGTAGAAGCCGCCTTGTACCAGCAGGACAGATGTTGTTTTTCCTCCCTCTGAACAGGAATACAGTATGGTAAGAAAACCCTCTAAATGAGTACATGCTTGTTTGTGTAGCTGCAAATACAGGTTGAGGGGCTTGTGTCAGATGTTTCTGCATACGCTTCCTGCCAGCTAGAATTTAGGTGGGCTTATGACGAGATCTCATAACCAGCACCGTACCTGACTAACTCACCTCTAAGTGTAGCCTAATCTTACTCTTTCTTCACTACTGCTGCTGGCAGGAGGCCTGCTCCCCCACTGACCCCAGAAAGCTCACAGCATTCTTTCAGTAGCTCTAAAAAAAAATAAAAATACCGCTTTTCTGTGCTGCTCAAGAACTGAAGCCCAGCAGACCAGAAATCAACAATGTATACACAGGAAGTCGATTAAATACTTTTGTCCTATGACAAAAGAGGAAAGCAGCATATCTTACTCTGCCTTTCTCCTCCTTCCTCAGCTATCAAAGAACTTGGTTTTGTTCTGTTCTCACCAAGACATAAACTGTTCACCTTAGTTGAGCTCCAAAATTCACAAAATTTCTCTTGCTCTTCCCATCTCTCCTGCAGAAGTGGATACAGTTGCCAAAAAGAAGAAAAATATCACCCCCTTTAACTTACAGGCAAGAAACTAGAAATACAGTAACCATTTGTATTAACCTTCTCATGTCCTGGGAGTATTTCAAGAAGCCCCATTAATTCTGCATTACTTTGGGAATTCTAGCATGTTTGTAGAGACCATGCAAGAATTATTAGCAAGAGGAAAGTATGTAAAAGCACCAAATGACTCCATTGACTTGCAGATGGAATTAATTCAAAAGAATTTGCAGGAGAAAAGCAGAAGAGCTTTACCAGATGATAGCAATCTTGCTATGCCAAATGGGTACTAACACAATGGTATCTTCAGTAGCCGTAAAGATGTTAAACATGCTTGATCTTCCTTGGAAGAGGTGTACTTCCATCAACACAGCACCCCCAACATTTATCAGAGAGAAAAAAGAAATCTAAGAGAAATGACTAGCAGTGCAAAGTGCCAGAATAAAATAGTTTTTCTGCAGCTCCAGCATCCATTCTCAACCTGCAGTTGCTGATCCTGCTCCCACTCTCCAGCCTAAGCTTCAGCAGAAGCAGATTGTCATATCTAAGTTCCTACTGCAAAGGCCCCAGCTACTAAGAATGCACAGGCTGCCACTGTAGTGTCTCCAGTAGATGGTACAGGTACCCGTATAGGGAGATATAGTCTGCAGCTAAGCCAAAAAGGATGTGTGGGCCTTAGGTCAACCTACTGTTTAGCATCTTGACAGTAGCAAAAACTGGCTATGCACATTCCATGTGCCCCAGTAAACAGCTCTTTTTGATAATTTGACCTCTTTTCAAGACATAGACTATCTCTTTAAAAGCACCCTGTAAGCAGGTACAGCTGTTCTGATTTGTAATATTTCCCAGTGGAGCCAACACCAGAGCAGCCAGTTAGGAGAGATCGTGCAGGAACAGCCCCTGTCAGGCCCCAATGTCAAAACATGGAAGAGCCAAACTAAGCAGAAGAAGCATGCAAGGTATGCAGGAACCAGCTGTCACTGGAGGTGAGCTCAGCACAGCTCTCACAGGCTCAGCTGGGGGGGGAGGTTCGCTCTTTTGCTCAGTTGCTAGAATTGCTGCCATTGCACAGCGTCAGCACCAGCTCCACTCGTTACGTGGGAACGGCACCATGGTCAGCTGCTACATACAGCTTGTGTGAACTCTTGCTTACTTGTACACCCCACGAGGATGCTAACACAAAGAAAAGCTTTCTCTCATTCTTGTGTGTGTATCTATATTTACGTGTGTGTGTGTGTGCATGCATTTGTGTGTGTGTGTATATGTGCATGTATACACACACAAATAATATACATTTTTGCTTGTACTCGGATAAAAAAAGTCTTGCATTTGCTGCAGATAAGAAAGCATCTCGCACCAGAAAGTAAAATGCTCTGAGGATTTCAGTGTAGGCTAACTGTACAAGCAAGTTAGTTACTTACTTTATCTTGAAGCTCTCTCAAGAGAAATGAGAGAGGTTGTCCATGGAGGTTTCCAGACTGAGTTGTAAGAGGGGTGTTGATATCAGCATGCGCATCCACCCAGATCACACCAAGGTGTGGGCACTGTCGTGCGTGGCCACTGACAGAACCAAGTGCCAAGCTGGAAGTACAGTGGCAAAGTCTTTAGTCACCATTTCTCCTTCAGAACAACTACAAGGACAATGGGAAGTCTCTGCAACTTCAGTCAGCAGCGTTGTCATGTTTCAACACATCAGACATCCGTGACAATAAAGGGTGCATCCCATACAAACTGCATGGCATGCCACTACCATGATTCCAGGAGACTCCAAGTAACTCCACAGGACTATACGAGTACTGACAGATGAGAAAGAGCTCTTTCCTCTCTCTGCTGTCGCCCTTCCCACACTCTAATCTTCACCTGTTCTAGCTCCAAATGATCTCTTAGAAAAATCTAGTGTGCTCACTCATCAATTCTGCTATTCACCCACTTTTGATTCCAGTCATGACACCTCCCCCCACAATTCATTCTTACATGCCCTACCTTCTTCAACCAATTCTTAGACCAAAGGTTAGTGAAAAAGAGGAGAAAGAGATTCATATATTGTAAGATCTATTACAAAATGATCTGTGTGCAGGCACTACAAACCCATCCTAAGAGTTGACATCCCGAGAGTTGAGGGGCAAGAGACACATCACTAAACATTCAGCAATAAAGAAACCGCAACACTTCCTAAAGGGACCTGATCACACAAACTTTCCCGAACAGGAAAACCCAGGAAAACCTCATTTGTATGTCTGCAGCTCACAGGACAGCCTGGACCTAAGCAGTACTGTCTTAGAAGGTCAGATTTTTGTGGCTGTCTTCTATGTTCCACCCTAAGAGCCCCAGCAATAAAATCAAAATGCTGCTACCCTATGGTACTGCCAGGAAATGACCCCAAGTTGTTCCCACCGTCCCCTTATTTTTTACTGAAATTCTTATACTCCAAGTGTCAACCCACAGCATGCACCACTAATTGCTTCTAGTTCAGCTCACCTGTGATCACCTCCTATAGTCACACAGCTGTGTCCAGCGGCTACGGCTCTGCTTACAGCATCAGCCAATACCTGGCTGGCTAAACCCACTGACCGTGGATATAAGATCAGGTTGTTGTACAGTTCATCATTGGGAACTTGAGTGAAATTCAAATCTCCAAAGTCGTACACTTGGCATCCTGGAAACACAGCAGCAAAAGGAGAAAGTGAGTTAAGTAAGCGCCCAGAGAAATGTTCAAAATATGGTCCCCTCAGAAAATCAGTTGGGCAAGTATGAGAGGAACAACAGGAAGGGAATGGATTCTTTGGACTATTTGCATGCCCTTGCAAACAACCATGTCACAACTTTACAGATTAGAAAGCTTAAGATAATATTGTCACTGTAATTTAGCGATGAGATACGACAATCATAGAAAGTCACCTAGAAAAAGTTTGGGGGTTTTGAATTATTTCTTGGCAATTTTAACATGAAAAAGTACAGTTTGTATTGCCGGCTTCCTTCCCAATTAGACAGATTGTATACAGCCTTAAATGAGCTCAGTTGTTCAAAGATGCCTAGGACTAAACATTTCACTAACTATATGTCCTGGTTTCGGTAGGGATAGAGTTAATTTCCTTCCTAGTAGCTGGTACAGTGCTGTCTTTTGGATTTAGGGTGAGACCAATGTTGATAACACACCGATGTTTTAGTTGATGCTAGGTAATGCTTACACTAGTCAAGGACTTTTCAGCTTCCCACGCTCTGCCGAGTGAGAAGGCTGGAGGTGCACAAGAAGCTGGGAGGGGGCACAGCCAGGACAGCTGACCCAAACTGGCCACAGGGATATTCCATACCATGTGACGTCATGCTCAGCATATAAAGCTGGGGGGAAGAAGAAGGACGGGGGGGGGCTGTTTGGAGTGATGGTGTTTGTCTTCCCAAGTAACCATTATGCGTTGGAGCCCTGTTTTCCTGGAGATGGCTGAACACCTGCCTGTCCATGGGAAGTAGTGAATGAATTCCTTGTTTTGCTTTGCTTGCATGTGCAGCTTTTGCTTTACCTATTAAACTGTTTTTATCTCAACCCACGAGTTTTCTCACTTTTACCCTTCCAATTCTCTTCCTCATCCCGCTGGGGGGCAGTAAGCAAGTGGCTGTGTGGTGCTTAGTTGCTGGCTGAGGTTAAACCACCACACTATACCTGAGTCCTAACAGTTATTTTCCATTTTCAAAGCCCACAAGAATCCAGGCACAAAAGTGCCAAGTTACCCAGATCGGAAATTTTCTTACAGTACTTCCAGGCAACTCCATGGAGGATGCACTAGTGCTTTGTAAGAGAACCTGTCCATTTTCTCAACACAAGATGTTCTAGAAGGCATTTTAATTCTGGGGCTTTGATTCCAACATTCTTTGAGATCCTGTCATTGCCAGTTACAACTTAATTGGCTGTTGAAGCCTGACAACATTCTGGGTCTAAGATTCAGCCTTTCCTAAAATGTATTTCCATCTACTTTTACCCTGAAAAGGAGTCAATTCCCAGAGTAGGAAACAAGGGAACATTTTTGAGTGGTTTCCCCTCCTCCACTCAACTGAGAGCATATTTATTAATTGGCTGCATTTAAAATTTAATTCTCTTTCATACACATTATGGAGCTTATATTTGAAGCTCTGCTGTCCGATACACCATGTGCTTTTTTAACAGTCATTTAGATAGATACCAAAATTTCTAACAGTATTTCACAGGCCAGAGCCTCTCATTTTCAGATAGGCCTGTCGCTGCAGGCACTGACGACGGCTGTAAAGGCCCCAAGGTATTTACAGCTACACCAACAGTGGCTTAATAAGTCAAGACCACCCTGAATACCAGTCATGCCTGTCCCATTTGTTCCTCAGAATCACTAGTCTGCAGTTCAAAGCATCCAGACCAGAGCTTGACATTCTGCCTTTAGCCATCCTATGCCTAGCAGGGCACTTTGGAAAATTAAGGCAAGCAAGTCAACATGAAGAAACGGCCCACCTGGGGCCCTGGGCTTCCTGCTTGATTTCCATTACGCCATTAGTCTAGGTCTGTGAATTTGCTCAGTGGAAATAACAGAAAAGTAGCATTGAGAAAAACATGACTTTATTATAATTTATAATTTCAAAAGGAGTTTTGACTGGTGAAAACGGCTGAGTCACTTGTGAGAATTAGGTGGCTGGGAAATAGGCAAGCATCCTTTTTACAGCAGGGACATAGATGGACATATGTCAGGGTATTTGCTAGGAGAGGACATGTCAGCTGAGCACAGCTACTTGACAAAGGACTAAGTAAATGTAGTCTCAGCAACTCTGTGAGAAAGCACATTATCTGCAGAGACGTAAAGCAGTAAGCTGGACCATGACATTCCACGTCCTGGTTTTCAAAGGCAACACAGGCATACAGCAGCATTTTCTTCCTCCCTTAGGCAATACCTAATTAGCCAGCAGGACTAAGACTGTGGCATTTAGAGCCCGTTCTGTTCAGATTTGAATGTGCTATCTGATCTTCCATGTGACATTTTTTACCCTCTATTTCATTCTGCTGCTGTGCAGAATCAGAAAAGAGTTACGAGTTCCGAGAGATGTTCAATGAATGTCAAAATCTATTTTTTTTATTTGTGTCTTCCTGCAAGGCTACTTCTCACACATACGCACGCTGCTACACATTTCAAGGTTTGACCAAAGTACGTGAGTGTGCCTGGGAGGCAAGTTTTGGAAGTAAGACTTCAAGACATTGCATCATTCAATAGGTATCAAGAGCTTTTGGAGACGCTGTACAAGTTAATAATACCTTTGATCTAATACCTCTGACATCTGTGGGAAGTAAATCTGCAGATGGGAGCTGTGTTCAGCAACTTACACATTGCAGGACGGCACATTACACAATGTAGTGGAAGAAAGGACTGCCACTTATGTTTTGTTCTCTCTTATAGGACATACAAGCACATCACAGTATTTTTACCCATTAAAGGATGAAAAAGAATGAAAGGAAACTATATCATGAAGCTCCATCTTGAGATCAGTCTAAAACAAAGAACCAACCATGCCATCTTTCATAGCACTTTAACGAATCAGTTAAGATTCTTCAGGTCATGCTCAAAGCAGGCCAAACATGGCAGATTCTAGCAAGTGTGTTTGGATAAGTAGCACTTGTGTTCAAGAATTTCTTTCTTCTTTATCCTGCCCTCCTCCCAATCCCCATTTGTAAAGCAAGAAGACTTGGTTCAGCTTACGAATAAAAAAGCCTCATCATTTCATTTCTTATGATCACATCAGGTTCATACAGCTTACAATGTGGCTATAGTAGAGACGGATGGACAGACACACTTTTGGGGTCCAGAATTCTGGGATCTTGTCCACCTTTTGGACAAATGGTACTCTCGTATCTCCTGCATTAAGATGCTTCTCTCTAGTTATTTTTATAAAAAAGCCTAATGTCTGTTAAAGACAATAGATGCCTTCAGTTTTTGTTACCATCTTCAAAAGTTTATTGTTGTTCAGATAGAGTTCATAAACCATGTAGCAGCTTTTCTCAGCTTTGCGCTTCCCTCTTTTATTTAGGCCCACTGTTTTTATGTGCTTGCAGAGGACAGCTCAAGTTTCCCAGGGTGATATGAATGTTTTCAGCCAACCATCCAACAGCTATCTGATTAAGATACAGTTAATCTCAGAAGTACAGAGTAATCCAATCCTCGAACATTAATAGTATCTTTTCTTCCTACTATTTTTTTTAAATTGTGCCTAGAGTTTTGAAAGCTATGATTAAATGACCTTAGAGCAAAAGGAAAGCTTAGTGAATAGATAGTTCACACACACAAAAAATTCACAATACATAAACAAACTGTGTATCCTGAAGTGATTAGAAGTGTGTGTGTATGCGCATGTGTGCACATATATTTATTAGGATTGACCAGATATTGAAGAGATGAACTCAACATGTACATTTGTCTTAATACTTACTGAACAGCAAAGAATTTGCCAAATTATTAATCATTGATGTATCTTCTTAGCTTCTATTTAGAGTGTCTCAGATGTTAGTCTAATACTTAAAGACCCAAATTGTTTTCCATTTCATCTGCCTGCTTGCACATAGTTTTGATTTAAATAAATTAAAAAACTTACTTTCTCAACTACATTATTTTGTCCAACATAGAAATTGCTGAATGGATAGACATGCTGTAGTGCAGTGCAATCTGGTGGATCTTGCTGTTATTTGGCCGTTAGTGAAAGACTTATATAATCCACCACACGAAACAATATGCACTTACTTTCTTTGGTAGTTGGGGCACTCTCTATTTTAAGATACTAATAGCTATAAACAAACAGCTTTTTAAATCAGCATAGAAAGCTAACATGAAGAATATATATGGGCCTTTTAAAAGACAGTAGATCCAAGTTCTGAAAACTGGAAAAAGATGTGGGCAGATAGGAAAGCCAGCTTCTTTACATTCATCAGAAAGCACAGCATCCACACCATTTGTCAGTGCAGCAGATCAGGTCTAACCAGGATTGAAGTTCTTTTTAAATGAAACAGTACCCTACAGTACTTACAAACTAAACACCACAGACATTTTGCTAGTAACTAAATAATATGAAATTAAATATGATCAAAAGAAGCCTTTTGTTCCACTTTCAAGCTCTAACAGAAATTACATTCAAATGAAAAATATATTGTTTGATTCATTAGTCAATTAGCAACAGCACAGAAAATTTATAACAACGAAGTCCATACAAGTCAGCTTCATCAGCACTCTGGCTCAAGAAGAGATGACTTTTTGAAGTGAGGAAAACAAAAAAACCAGGCTTGATTCATCTATTTCTGTTACAGGAGCTTGAAAGAGGTATCAGGGAGATGGAGGTGGCAATCTGAATACGAACACACAGTATAATTGCATAAATAAAACGCATATGTGCACAACAGTCCTCCTGTTAGTATGAATAATTAGTGTATAAAGGCAGCACACATATTTCTTCTACAGCTGAAGAGTGCAATCCTCAGTGGTTCAATGCCCGCTTACCCCACGCCCTGCCCCAACAGAGTTTCGTCAACAGGGCTGTTTGGGGGCACATTTCAGCCAAAACCGAATAAATCAGCTTGAAATAGTTTCTACAGTAGATCTTCCCTAGGTCGATTTCTTTTGACCAGAAGAGGTTAGGGAAAGGTCACACAGGCATTCAACCAGCAGACCAGGGGATGGAGGACAGTCATTTCTTCAGTCTGCACAGCGAGAACCAGAACTTTACCTACATCTGGTAAAGGAAATCAGCATTTTTCATAATTAGGAGCCAAACTTGTACTTAGGCAGAAATACAAATTAAGAACACATTTAAGAAAACAAAGTTTCCTGCATGCCTTTTCAAATAAAATATCAGTGTAGCACTGGGGCTCAACCCAATGATGCTTGTAACTGGGACATAGGATGCCCTTTAGCAAGCTATATGACAATGGTGATGTTCACCTACCATCTTAAAAAGCAGTTCATTTATTCAGCACCCACAGTAGGCAGCAGTTACAATAGCAAGTAATTTCCCTGCACAGATTTAGAGAAAAGTTTCTTCTGTGAAAGCAGGTGGCTTGTAAGTCTGGGGGCATTTAACCAGAAAACATCTGGGCAGCAGCAGGGAAAGCCTCTCCATCCGTCTCTACTAGGATGCTGCACCAGAGCCAGAAGAGCAATCTGACAGAAGGAGATTCAGTTTTCAAAATCCAGGCTGGCTGCTGACATTGCCCAATCGCATGCTACTGTGACACAGTTATAAAAACTCTCCGAGGCAGCAAACAGGAATTGGAACAAAAACATGTGGAACATGAGATAGAAATGATCTCCTGACACTGCCTGTTTACACTGGGTATTTGTGAACTAGAGGTAAAAAAAAATAATCCTAAATTAATGGGAAAATTAAATCTTTCCCTTTCCA